AAAAAAAAAAAAAAAAAAAAAAAAAAAAAAAAAGAATTACTGATGCCAGGCCACACCTAAGTCCAATTAAATTTGTAACTTTGGAGGTGAAGCCATGGCACTGGAATTTTTAAAATCTCCCCCAAGTGATTCCAATGTGAACTCAAGGTTGAGAAGTACCACTCTGCACTTAAGCTAATCCTTAGGCACTTGTCTCCAACAGGAATTAGACACCTCTAAAGAGGTATTCACTCCCAGGAGGGTTGCCAGGTACGATACAGGGTGCCCAGTTGAATTCAAGTTTCAGATAAACAATAAATAATTTCTTGTATAACAATATCCCAAATATCACATGGGGCATACTTATATTTAAAAATTCAGCACTCTTTATTTTTACTTGCTAACTCCGGCCACCCTAGCCCCCAAGTGTTGCCTCCGAGATGGCTGTGAAAAACATTCTTCCTGAAGGCAGAGGGGAGAACAGAGAATCTGACCAAGGCTCTCAGCCAACTGCCAGGCAGAGAATCCTTGCTAGACTGCCACTAATGTAAGCACTTAGCACACAACCCAGCGCTTCACAAGCCCTCACCAAATGTTAGCCAGCATTCTGAGGAAAGCTTCCTTTTATGCAAAGGAACCTATGTGCATAAGTGTGCACCACAGTATGCCTCTCAGTATTAATTTAAATAGAAATGTTCCTAGACTATATCAATTATGATCTGGCTTATAAAACAATGATGTCAGTTTTAACTTCCAAGAAAGTATCTCCAGGGAAACGTCTGGTATGATGTAGTAGTACCCTGTCCCTTTCTTGTGGTTTCTGCCCCTTTTAATATTTCCCTACTCTTCCCCCAGTATTCCTCTCAATCTGTGATTCTAATTAATTGAAAAAACTAAATCAATAGAGTCATCACAAAGAAAATTCTGGTTTAGCTCTTACACAAGTGCCTTCAATATTTTAAAATGCAGTGCTGGGTAAAACCATCCAATAAGCATTTGTCACTTGATGTATATGGTACAAGGTCTGCCAAGAGAGAGCTGATCACGCACGTTGATCCACAGATGGAATGGGAGAAGAGATAAAGGGAAAGGGGCAGGATGGTGGAGAGGATGTCATGAGATGGCTGAGAAAACGTTTATTACATAACACAAGGCAACAATGGAAATACGTTACAAAAATTAAATACGAGACATAAACTATAATTGAAGTTAAGGAGAACCCCAGGCTGGGCATGGCTCTGGGACACATAGAAGAGGTGGCCTCCAGGGTCACAGAATCATTGCTCTGGCTCAGGCACCTGCTCCCCAGTCGAAATACGTTACAAAAATTAAATACGAGACATAAACTATAATTGAAGTTAAGGAGAACCCCAGACTGGGCATGGCTCTGGGACACATAGAAGAGGTGGCCTCCAGGGTCACAGAATCATTGCTCTGGCTCAGGCACCTGCTCCCCAGTCGGCCCATAGATGTAGCACGTCCTTGCAGCTTCCAGGCCACTCAGGAGTTCAGCTCCAGGTCGGTGACATATTCCTGGACCCAGGCCTCACTGGGGTCAGCACAGACCTGCTGGCCTCTCTTGGTTTGGAAGCTGTGGAGAGGGATGGAAGGATTAAACACCGGGGAATCCAGCAGGGGAGTCCTGTGGCCCCTCCAGCCTTCTCTGCCCCAGACATCTCAGGGCCCGTTCACATGCTCACAAAATTTCCCTTTAACTTTGGGGTCCACAGACCTCCCCCAAATGTCTCATATCGGGGAGTCCCTCAGAAAGCCAACCTCCCTGCTGCTATCAGTCCTCCACTGTCTTCCCACTGCCTGCAGCTGGGCCTTTAGGACTCTCTGCAGGCCTCAGACCAGGTCAGAAAACACTGCAGGGGCCTCTCCTGGAGTCCTGCTCCCTGACAGGTCCTAGACAGCTGAGCACTCAGAGGGGGCCTGCCCCAGACCTGCCAGCCTCCCTCCCGGGGGCTGGGCAGAAGGACTGGCCCTTACATGACACCTGGCTTGGAGCACGGACTACCGGTGTCATAATAGTCGTCCACAAACTTGCGTGGAATCTGCCGGGAGATATAGAAGCAGCAGCAGGCAGTAGGGGTGTCGGCACCAACTGTGAGAGACAGGACAGAAAGGTCCCAAGTCATTGTTCAGAAGAAAAGCTGAGCCAGCTGCTCCTGACCCCTTCCCTCAAGAGTCAGGAAGAGCTAGAAGGAGATGGTGCTGCTGAGGGTGGGGACATGGGGACAAAGGAAGCTGGTGTTTCTTCTTTTCCTTAACATTTTTATTTCTGCATCTTTCAGTGTTTCTTTCTCTGTCTTGGTTTTAGGTCTCTATGTCTCTCTATAGGGAAATTAGCTTTCTGAACAAGCTACTTCTTATTCTATCTCTCCTTGGGGAGTTCTGTCTGGAATCCATCAGGAGACCCAAGGCCACACGCGGAAAGCCAACTGGACCCAGATTCTACCTCTTGTCAAAATTCCAGTTGGAACTTCATTTTCTCATCCATAGATTGGAGCTCACTCCTCCTCCGTCACCCAGAGGAGAACAGAATTGCTAAAACTCCTTAGGAAGGAAGAGTCTCCTCAGGAAATCATCTCTGAAGTATCTCTGAAGTTCTCTACTTGGAGGGCCTGGGGGCAGAGGACCTCGGTGAAGAGCAGGACAGCGAGGGCAGTCACCGGGAACTGCATGATGCTGGGCCGCAGAGTGGGAGCTGTAGTGGTGGCCCAGGAGAAGGGACTTGAGGGCTTGCAGCGGCCGCCTCCTGCTGGCATCTGAGCTATCTCTTTTTTTTAATAGGCAACCTCAGGGCATTAGAAGACGGGAACTTGAGGAGACTGAGGGGGAAATTTTTCATCATGGTGTTGGTGTAATGCTGTACATTGCATAAACGAGTAGAGCTCTGGTTCACCACAAGTGCTCAGGCTATTTGCAAGAATGGTTCAGCTGCTTACTTGATGGGGAAATGGTTTCCACAGCGAGAGGAGGTGAGATGCTGGTGTCATCCTGAGCCCAGATTAGCTGTTTCCTTCTCACAAGGGCAGATCTGTCGATAAAGCATTTCTTCTGCAGAGCTGAAACTTCTAATATCCTTCCCAGTCATTCCAACGGCATAGATGTGCCACAGATAAGAACACCATGGAGTCTTGAGAAGCACAGCCCAAGCCAAGACCGCACCCTTGATGGAGACAGCAGAATTGGGGAAGCCTCAGCTACTGGAGGGGCAAGGCCAAGGTTGGCCTTTCAGACACTGGCCTACCCACCAGACATTCATTGAACTTCTGCAATAGGCCAGTCCCTGGGTTCGCCGGGTTAACTGGAAGTTAATAGGAATGATGAGCCTTAATGTGTCATTATCCCTTGATCAGCAAAGCACTCCAGGAGGGATCTATCCTATGGATATAAACACAAAGATAAGAAAGTTGTATGTGCAATGACGTTTGTCACAGCTTATTTGTAGCAATTAAAAGATGGTCTACAATTAAATGAATTATGGTATACTCATCTCTTGTAATAATAATTAGCCCTTAAAAACTGAGAAAGTAAAGAAATTTAGAAAGGAAGTCCTTGTTCCTCAAAAATCCTAAAGCATTTCCTGTTTCCTTATTGTAAAGTCAAGATGGATATTCCCAGGGTTTGTCCAGCAGGTCAGTGATGTCATCAAGGACTCAGGCTTCTTAAAACATCTCCTCTTCCTCCATCATTTTGATGGCTTTTCTTCTTTGGGCTTGTCACCTCATGGTCACAAGATGGCTGCTGCTGCTCAGCAATCACATCTTCACTAAGTCTCATTTGCAGGCATAGGAGGGGGTCCCATAGGAGCAGAGGAAGATCAGTGCTACTAGAGTTTTTAATCCAAATTGTTTTTCACATGGTATATAATGTGCACTATAGTAGAAAAAAATTAATTTTTAAAATATATAAAATACAGAAAAGAATAAAGTGATTTAGCATCTGGAAGATGAGTAGGCAGCAGGACAGATGCAGATAAGGATGTGGGAGTTTTCCTAAATATTCTTACCATCCTGCTAAGGGATATGTAAATTCTGAAGCATAATCTGAGTAAAATATTTTTCCATGAACGTAGGAAAAATTCTATCACCCATACCTAACCACTGTTAACATATTGGTTTATTTCCTTCAAGTGAAGTTTTTTCTAGGTTCATGATAGCTCTGTTTGCTTACTGTCTTTTCTTCCTTCTTTTTACTATGTGTCAGGGTGAGGCATTAATGTAGTCAAGATGTAGATGCAATTTTGTATTTTTCTTATTTATATTTAACACTGTTAGACTTTTCCAAATCACTCCAGTATTTTTAAGAGCTACTGAATTTGCTCAACCATCAACCCAGTGCATTAATATTATTATGCACTATTGTATAGCACATTTGGACTGGTTCCCATCTTTAATTGTTATAAATAAGCTATACCAAACAACTTTATGCATAAAACTTTCTACGTAAATGAAGTTATTTCCATAGGATATTTCCCTAACTGTAGGCTTCCTGGGTCAAAAAAATAAGAATATTTAAGGCTTCTGATCTATACAGACACCATACATCTAATGCATGTTTATGTCTATTACCCAGTGTCAAGCCCAATGATGTCATTTTGTAGGGACCTGTGAATGTTTGTTGAGTGAAACAGTGATTTAAAGGCTGACCTCATGCCCGTAGCCCAGGCTTTGCTATTCCATTGTGTTCATCTGGGTCTGGATCAAACATGGTTTGGGCTACTTAGGATTATGTGAGATCCTCACATAAATCCCATCTGTGCAGTCAAAGCACCTGTGAAGAACATTGGAAATATCTGTGCAATGGAAGGAAGTGAGAATGGTGCAGTTTATAGATAGATCTGTCCTTGGTCATAGGTACCAGCTAAGCTTGGTTGCTTGGCGACACCAACTCTTGGCTCCCCCTCGCTGGTTAACCATTTCTTAGAAGCACTCCAATCTGCATGATGTGTCATGGTCCTTTTCACCCAGGGTGTGGTTTAAGCGTGACTTGCGCTGCCGGGACACTGTGGCATCATCACGTACGTCACCCTGTGTGGTCAGAAGAGCTGAAGCACAGCCTCAGAGATCAGCTCTGTGGGAGGAATCATTAGTCTGTAGGTCTCTCCATTGACTTACGGCTCTAACGCTAATGTCTCACCACCTCTCACCATCAAAAACATTTCCACACTGCCAGCCCAACAAGTAGCAACTGAGTTATTCTTGTACATCCTGAACCCCTGTGGGACCCACGGCACCCCAGCAGGTACAACTCGGAGCATGACACCAGGCACTCTCCATCTTACCCAGCCTCCAGTTCCTCGTGGTCTAGAGTTGCCTATAAAGGGATAGCGACGTGGCTTGGGCCCCGGAAGGATGCAGGCAGCAGTGCATGCCCAGTCCTACCTCAGCTTTGCCCACACTCTCCAGCCTGCCCAACACTGCGCAGGACTCCAGGGCTGCCCTCCTTGACCATCTCCTCGCCATGGCCTTCAGATCACAAGTCTGATCTGTAGCATGAGACTCTCAACCCTTGTCCTTTCTTCATTTTAGGATTGTTTCCCCATGCTCAGGACAGACATCTAAACCATATCACTTAATTCTTTTTAGTTGGGAAAATCGAGGCCTAACAATCATTAACAAGATGCAAACTTCAGGCATAGGTGGTTCCTAGGGCAAGTCAAGTGGCAGATTCCCCTCCATTCTTCCGAGGAGGGTGATTTACAGAAGATGGTCTCTTGCTGGGAAATGTCTCCATAGACCGGATGAAGTTCCCCAAAAGAGATAGAACAAGGGCCAGCTGTTACAATAGTTATACTCCCTGAAGAGGGAGATGAGACAGAGAATAAGAGAGAGGCAGAGATTTATAACAAAAACTCAAGGTAGAGAAGAAATGCCTGACTTCCTTCGTTCCTTTTAAGCCCTTCTCCACAGCCCTGGGCAGTGACGTCTCCATCAACTTCTTTCTGGCCCCCCAGAGGGTCAGCAGAGATTTATAACAAAAACTCAAGGTAGAGAAGAAATGCCTGACTTCCTTCGTTCCTTTTGAGCCCTTCTCCACAGCCCTGGGCAGTGACGTCTCCATCAACTTCTTTCTGGCCCCCCAGAGGGTCAAAGAAGCTGACTTGGCTTTTCTCAGGTCTGGATGCCCATTGCCTCACAGTTAGGACAGACACCCCGCTGCCTGCTGCCTCTCTTACATTTCTCCAGATCTGTTGCAAATTTGCTGATGATCATTACAACTCCAGCAGCCAGTGCTCCTATCCCGTGTAGTCTCAGCACCAGTTCTCCTGTTGCAGAGAGACTGAGGGGGTGTAGGAAACAGCCCCCAGGACATGGGTGCAGAGCAGGTAGGCACGGGTAGGAGGGTAGCAGCCATCCTGGGAAAGCCCAGATGTCTGAGGCCCTTCCAAGGCGCTGGACACCAGAAGAGGCCACAGAGGTGATTTCTGATGAGTCTAAGGCCTTCAGGGAACCAGGGAGGAGCTGCCCCAGGGCAAAATGGAGCGAGGCAAGAAAATGATGGCAGAGAGAGACTGCACCACGAGCCACTCATGGAGTGGGAGGGCTCGGGGATGATCCTTGAAAGTATGGGCTAGTGTCTGGCTTCTCAGCCGAGAGAAAGGAATGGAGCGGCTATGGGGGCCTGTGGATCTCTTTGCTAAATGCTTCTGTTTGATCCCTCTGCTCTGTATCAGTCAGGGTTCAGTCAGAGCAGAACTACTAGGAGGCGTGTATTTGCATAATAATGGATTTGTTACAGAGCTTTGACCTTACACAATGGCGGGAGCTGGTCCATAGTCTCTGTAAGGCTGTGGTCTTCACACTTGATGCTAGAGCTGAGGTCGGCAGAGCAGCCAGGAGGGGAAACTGGAGATAAAGCAGGGGAGAGCAAGGACAAGCTGGGACACAAGAGCATGAGCTGGAACCCATGAGAATGGATTGGAACCCATGTCAGTCCCTAACTGCCTCAACCTTGAAGATGTGGGCATCCTACAGGAGAAACTGTCACCTCTCATCATGGCCCAGGGGTTGCAGAAGTAGAAGGAGGATCTAGAGGAAGGTGGGACACCTACAGCCCCAGCTGAGCCACAGCTTGCCTGAGCAACAACAGCACCCTGAGCTCCTGCTGCTTAACTTCCACTCTCCAAATCTTGCACAAATGTCTCTTGTGGCCCACCATCACTGGAAACATACAGAGACGGGAATGCTGGGAAATGCAGTTCAGCCCAGTCAAGTCGGCTCATGAGTGCCCCCAAGCCCTTCTGCATAGCTTCCTCACCAACGGGGCCAGCAGGTCCATGCTAGCTCCAGTGAGACCAGCATTTAGGAGAACATCGCTGACCTGGAGCTGTGTCCCTGCGAGGCCTGAAACTGCAAGCAAAGGGTTACATCTGTGGGCAAATTGGGGAGCAGAGATCTGAACCAAAGGAATGACTTGCAAGTCCGAAGCCACCTCTTCTATGGGTTGCACTCCCCCCAGCCACACTCTGGGGACCTCCTTAACTTTAATTTTAATTTATGTGAATTATTCAAGTTTTGTGATTAATTTCCAATACTGAATTCAGTGATTTGTAAACATTTACCCTGGAAAATTATGCAACAGCCTCTTACCCAGCCCCTTCCTCCATTCAATCATACAGTGGTTGACTCAAATTCAAAGTGTTGCCTGGTGATTAAGGTCAACTCTATCTAGACAA